AAATATAAAAAAATAAAATATAAAAAAATATTAATATATTTATTTTATTAGATATAATAACATAATTAAAATATAATTAATAATATATATTTTATAAAATTATTAATATTTTATATATAAAAAAAATAAAATAAAACCGGAACGGCCCGTTCTGAAACTGGAACGGGCCGTTCTGGTTGCATTTTCGTTGTGTTAATTTTGCACTTGGAACGGGCCGTTCCGGATGCAAAATTAACACACCAAAAGTGCACCCAGAACGGCTCGTTCCAGTTTCAGAACGGGCCGTTCTAGGTCCAGGTATTTTTAAAAAAATTCTCATCCACGTGGCATCCACGTATGCATCTGCGTGGCGTCCACGTGACCAAAAGTTAACACCGTTAAAGCAATTTGGACGGAAAGTCCCACATTGAAACTAATTAATTAATTTGGGACTAAATTTAAATCAATTAATTAGTTTGTGACCAAATTGAGACCAAAAATTAATGAGGGACTAAATTGAAACAAAAAAGGATTATAAGGGACCAAAATAGGTTTTTAACCTAATTTTTTTATTTATAAATATAATATATAGAGGAAGATTCAAACGACATTAGTGTAATTTTTATTAAGTGTTACACCGCTTAATAACTTTAAATTAAATGTAAATTTTGTAAATCTAACTATTAGATTAAAAGTTTTTCATTCTTAGATCATATATACAAAATTTATATTAATCCAAGGAGGTGTCGCTTCTATTTCACTGTTGCTAATGATGTAGCATTTCATAAGCTGTGGTCTAAAGGGCTCGTGGAGAACACAATCAAACAGTCTTGAACAAATTATAAGCCACTAGAACTTCAATGATGTTCCCAGGGCCATGATATTGTTTTTATTTGTTGTTGAAAACAAAAAAATAAATTATTGAAGGATCAATTTCAATGTCCAAATCAGAGGTATGAACTTCTGAATAGTGGATTCCAATTATTATAAACTGTGATGATATAATCAGTTAAAAACTGTCATAGGGATGTTAGTGGATAATAATTTCGTTATGACAAATCGTCACCGGACAATGTCGCATATGAACGTCTTGATGCCTTGACAAAATTAAGTTTTTGAGATATTTTACGCGCTGTGCTTGCATGTGACTTGTGATTCATGTTGTTCTCTCTTGAAATTTAGTAGCCATTGTTCAAATATTCACACTAATCTTAGTTAATGCACCTAGTTATTCGTCTATAAAGGTCTACTACGATGTTTATTAATAAATTCTATTTTTTGACCTAGAGTAACCATATCTATAATACAACAATAAATAGTCTTATCTCTCATTCAATATGGTCGGTCATATGTAGAATACATGATATCATACTAGGTTGTTACAAATAGTTTAAGATTTTGTTTGAATTTATATTTTTAATGATGAGTTCGACACTTTTTATAATTATTAAAATTTTATTTTGGTAGATATATTCATTCAAGGAGATCTCTTGATGTCGGAGATAAAATTCTTTTGATAGGACTTTGTTGAATTTCGACCAATTATAAAGTGAATCAATTATTTTATATTGTCTTATAGGTTCACATATTTATTTTAACATTTCATTTATACTATTATGACATTTTTCTCTACTTGTCCTTTCAAATTTTAACATTTATTGTGATAAAGTATAGTTGATGTCAGGGATAGAGTTGTGGGTTTAGTTCAATGGACCAACCTGGTCAGCTTAAAAATAGGGTCAGACTGAGCTTTAAAATGGATGATCCACTATAAGAAAATTTTCATATAGTGACATATATTCTATAATGACACAAAAATTATCATTAAAAAGCACTTTTACCCACACAACAAATATAATATATGTTGGTATATTGTTAAAAAGTATGGGTATAGGTTATAGTGACATACAAAATTATTATTAAATCTCATTTAAAATAAATTCTAAAAGTACATGTAATTATATGTCATATATATATATATATATATTAATTAACTTGTTAAAGGAGAAATTTATATGCCTTTTTAAAGGTCTTATGATAAGATATTTGTTTAAATAAGTTATCATCAAGATCAATTAGACTTTAAAAACATATTTATATCATATAAACAGGATAACTCAACTCTTATAAGTCTATGCTAACTATTTCCACTAATAACCCTTTTTTGAGCAATAATAATTTTTAGTTTAAAAATTTATGGTTTGTTTTATAAAAAGTCTTTCTTATTGATATAT